TGAGATAAAATTTTGATCATTTTATTAGTTCATTGTAATTAATCACTGTTTAAAAATATTAGTATCAAAAAACTTCTACTTGATGAAAAAAATAGTATATAGTTGAGATTTATCGAACTTTTAATCTCAATCGTATATCGTGACATGTAAATGACCTCATTTCAAGTATTTTTAACGAATTATGCAAATTTTTCGTATTTCTACAGTTATTCGGTGTATATACGAAAGAGAAGAATTCAGGCATTTTCATGGATTTTGAACGATTGAGAAAATTTTATTTGTATTCTTGTTTCACATAGTACAATCAAGCGCACTACTTACAGGGAGCTGCAAGTCCGATTTCGAGTTCACAAAAAATGCGAAGCCGCAGTTCCCTACTAACTTTATCTCGTTTATATAAAGAAATTCCGCATACATAAACTGCTGTTTGAGACTTCAAACGTATTGATATGTTCTATGATGAAATTTTGTTTAGTGATGTCTGTTGAGGAGGAGCCGAGGTATTGAGTACAAGTGTTTTATTCTTATACTTCAATACTCTTTTCAGATGAAAGAAACATTGTCTTTATCACTCAAAAGTCTTTGATTGAATTCTTATTCGAGTTTTAAAATGTTGTTCTTAAGGATAAGAATTTTATATTGAAACATATAAAGAGAAAAACATTGACTTGTAATTACTCAACTCAAATGATATATGTGGCCAGGTCAATGGTTTCAGAAACAAGCGAATTTTGCTGGAATTATTCAGAGGAATGCAAGAGAAAAAATCATTGTATCTTACTGTGAAAGTTCAGAAATAGATGAAACTTCGAAGCGATATTCTGGACTACAATGTTCCTAATGACATCTGATGATTTCTTTTCGGAATGAATAGAAAATTAGCTGAAAATCATCGAAGTATTGCTTCCGCGTTTCATCGATTTCTGGTATTGTTCTGTCGAAATCGACCTGTATGCATTCACATGAGTCAACACTAGAGATGTATGAAATCAAGTTTTTATTAGTTATAGTTCTAATCTCAATTGTTCTACTTTTTGTAGGTTTAATTCCGATCTAGAGTAAATACGATTTCAAAAATTTATTCCTACCAAATATAGAAAACAGTTTGAAATACACGGTCTTTTTATTAGTTCGGTTAATGAATATTGCCTTTTTTCCAATCTTCTCTGCTGAGAATGGTTTGTTTTATAGATATAATTTATAAAATGGTTCACTCAAAACAATAGATTATTAAAATATAATCTTTAGTTCAGATCATCTGCATCACAATTAATTTTGATCTTATTCATCTCTACTCACTACTGTTGACATTGAGATATAATTATATCTTTTCGTTCTCTATGCACAATATTTTGTAAAGACTAAATATAGCTCTTCTTTTCATCGAATATTATAAAAATTTTGATAAGAAAAGACTAAAAAAACTTTAATAATACATTAATAGAAAAATTTATTCTTTTGATCTGAATTAATGGATTTATATTATCTTGACAAAGTGTTTGTAAACGATAATTATAAGAATATTTTTAATTAGTCTAACAACATTCTTTTTTTTATTATTAAAATTAATATTGAATGAAGAAAGCAATTATATGAAATAGATCTTATAGTCCTTTCAATTATTCTTATGATGATATTTAAATAAGAGAGAGAAAGTTATATTAAAAAGAAGAAAAAAAATACTCGACAAATACAATGCTTAAGTTATTCTCGAGTTCACTTATTATAAATCAACAAAAAAAAAACGAATGAGAGATTATTTACAACAGTCGGACATCATTTAACTTCACATTTTGAATATATATATTCATGTGCTTTTGTGAATCTAACAAGTTTCCATTTTTAATCGACTTTATATCAATTTGTAGAACTCAATGAGTTGATCATGATCGAATAAAACTTTCTTTCCCGTAGATATTCTTTGAGAAATTAGCTCAGAAAAAAGGAATTGTAAGGTGTTGTTTCGAAAATATTAATTTTCAGTATTGAAAATTTTAATTGATTGTACATATCTACACAATTAACATAAATAAAAGTTCTAACACTGTCTATAATTTGAGAAAACTATATGCAATTGTGATCAGCTTAACGAGTTCTATAAACTTCATTGAAAATGTCGACTCATATAGAGTAAAAACTTCAATCTTGAAGGCTCATAAAATCAGTTGTTTTCTCCTCGACTCACACTTGTAGAACTATTCTCTTCTCCAAAATTTATTGATTGATGAATTATAGCTGTTTGAATACTCATTTGTACAAATTGAGTAATGTTAAATGACTTACCATGTACAACATAAAATATACATCTATCTTTATAGAGAATCTTAGTAATGTCGTTAGTAATTTATGCTATGCTTCATTTAATATTACTTTTTTCTAATATATGATACACCTGCGTTTTTTTTTCGTTAAATAAAAAAGTTTTATTAACCCTGTTACCGTTGATATATGTATATCTCATTATATAATAATATTAAATATAACATAAGGTAATACGTAGAAGGACAGGTAGCGTAAAAAGATTGATACAATATGTTTAGTTCTTTTGACCATGGATTCTTTTTTTTTTTTTTCTATCGAATAGAAATAAACATCTGTTACAGCCTATTGAGTGTTCTTAATATTAGGTTATAAACTGCAATATTTATTAATAATCATATTTCATAAAATTTTTCATTGATTGATTTTATGATATCAGATATAAGTAACTACTGATTCAGATCATCATAATCATAAAAAATCAAGTGAGTGTGTGTTTTTTTTTTGCTGCTTTATACACCTGTGTAAATATCCTAGTAACATATTCAAATATTGTAAAAGTTCGATTACTTTAAATCTCAGAAATTTTATATGTATACGTTCTAAATATCTAAGATTATATATTCATGTATATTAAAAAATACTATTCTCTTTATAATAATAAAGAGAGTATTCATATAGGTAGAAAAACCTCATTTCAATAACCATTACCTTCGCTTGGTTAATGACGGTAGATGATATAAAAGTAAAAATGAATAGGAAATATGTATATATATATATATATGTTTTTGTATGTACATCGATTAGTCATTGTAGTCAAGTTGTTTATACTACAAAAATATTCTCATAAAAGTAAGTCTGTCACGAATAGGATACATGATACACAGTCTGTTACCTGTATGATAATTGTAACAGTAGAAAACAAGAGATCAAAGTCCATAAGATGATGCAACATCATCAACATCAGAATTACACAGTTGTAAAAAAAGAAGCGTGTGATCATTAAAAAACAAAAAAAAGAATAAAAGATACGTACATATTTCTCTCTTTCAAGTTCAAATACAGTCAAAAGAACTTGAATTTAATTGTGGTTTACACAAAAAATACGTTAATATAGTCAATCGAACAAACAAAGGACATATATTTTTTCTTTCATGGCTTTTTTTTTTGTTCTACATTGCATAGTTTTCATGTGTATATCACGCATGTACGCATATATTCAAGGCGTGAAAAAACATTTGTTGTGTGTAACAAATGCTTGCAACATAATTTTATTTTGCGTATATCTATACGATGATATACATAAAAGATAACCTAGAATATTTTCTTAAAAACAAAACATTTACAATTCATTTCTCTACAATATTCAATCTAATTGACTTAAATTAATTGATTTTGAAAGAATTTAAATTAAAAAAGAAATATATATTTTAAAATTCAATTAACTTCTTTGTATAAATAATTAATTACTTTTTCATGATACTCAAATATTCAAAAGATTATTTCAATAGTATTATTGTATGTAGATAGGAGATTAAATTACAATAAACTTATCATTTCATGATTGTTATGTATACTATTACATTTGTAAAATATTACATATTTTACATTGTTTCATTTTAGTCCTTGTAAAATAAGTCAAAAGAACTTTTTGTTATAAGAGAAACTAATAATAAATATCCTTGAAAACTGTATCTTTGCAGTATGTAAAATATACACAATGTCATAACATGTTTTTGTTTTGTTATTTCTCGTACAAGAAGAAATAACAATTTTTCCTTTTCCTTCTCTATCCATCTATCATCATATGTTAGAAGGACTTTTTTTCTAGAATTGTCCTAGAGAAGAATTGGTACACCATGACATGAAGAACTTTTTTTTTCTAGGAGTTTACTGAAACTTATGCTTCTTTAATGTAAGCCTATTGTATGATATATTAATTGACATGCAAAACCATTGACTAAGAATAGAAGAACAAAAATAGTGTATCATTAGTTGTTTATACATTATATTACAAAACAAAAACAAAAAAAAAAGGAATCTCTAATGAGTGCATAATTGTCCAAGTGTAAAACATACTAAATTGTTTGAATTAAATGTCACGATGTGCACTTGTTGTATGTAGATGAAAACAGATAGATTTGATTTATGAGCACAATTTAATAATGAAAAATAATTTTATTTTACTATTCGATTAAAACTTAAAATTTGTCTTTCAAAGATAAAATTATATAGTGTCAAATATAACTTACCTTTGATAAACAAAACAAAAATATATATCATCGACTTTCTTTTGCTTTACAAATGAAAAGGTTAAAATTACTTTTTTTTTAATAAAAAAAAAAAAAAAAATAATAACGACGAGACATGTATAAAAGTATTTGGCAGAAAATGCAAAAAAGAAAAATATCGAAAAGTGATGATCAAGGCCAGGTTGTCTTACCCTTGTCTTTACGTTTACAATCAATGAGTACAGACGATAGAAGAAGAAAAAATGAAATCAAATCATAACGGCAACAGCTGATTTGGTTAAGAATAAAGTAGAACGAACGCATTCTATCAGCATCTTTTTTTTTCTTTTTTTTTATTATATATTTTCATTTTCTGCATTTTCTATCAATCCGATATAAAAACATTACTTTCAAAATAATTTTTTTTCTTTCTGATGTCGATCAATTAACAAATAAATTTTTTCTGTTTTAAATAAAAGAAAAACAAATATATTCTTTTTTATTTTTCGTCTATTGTGGATGACCATACTGTTGTGTTCCATAAGGATTTTGTTGTTGTTGTTGATAATGATACCAAGGATTTAATGACGATTGAATAGGATAATTTGATGATGATGATGATGATGGCGGCATATAAAATGTACCATTTGGATAACGTACTGATGATGATGCTAATGGCATTTGAGGATATAATGTTGAATAAGCACCACGATATGATTGTTGTTGTTGAGAAAAAGGTCCTGTACTATTTGTATTTGGATTAAAATGAATTGTTCCAGTATTTGATGATGATATATTATTTAAATTGTATAGATTTGAAGCATAACTACCTGGTGTTGAATGACTTTGAAATGATGAACTTGAAGTTTTATTGGATGTAAGACTTGTAGTAGATGAAGATGTGGTTTTAGTTGGTTCATCTGATGTTATTGTAGTAGAATCAATAATTGAATTATTATTATTATTATCATCATCATCATCTTTAGTTGAACTTTCTTCTTCACCCATAATTCTAAAAAAACAAGATTGAAAAAATGTTGTTGTTTTTTTGTTTTTTGTTCAAATGAAATGAGAATTTATGTTAATTATAATTTACCGTAATCGTGCTAATCTATATTCAAGTTCTCGTTGTTCATAAGTTTTAATCGGAGGTTTTGTTGATTGTGAAGATAAAGAATTAGATGAATTTATTGTCTGTGAAGAATTTATTGAATCTTTAATTGGATTTCTTGGAATGATTGATATAATAGGCACTGTTGTTGATGAAGAAATATTATTAGAAAAAGGCAAATTATTATTATTATTATTAGTAGAAATATTATTTGATTGAATTGTCGTTGTTGTTGATGTTGTATTAGAATTAATTATATCATTAGAAATAGGTAATTGTATTTGACTGGTTGGTCGTTTAAGAATTCGAATTGGTTTATTTGAATTCATTAAATTATTATTCGAAGAATTTCGATTATCATCATTATTAACAATGGATGATATAGATTCCTTTAAATAGACAATATAAAATTAAATGTAGATTAACAAAAAGTAAAGTTCAAGTTCAAAAAATATTTAAATTTTGAATGTTCTTATAGATGAATTTACTCGAGTATAATGTAACCTTTTGAATCGATTCTTAAAAATTAAAATAAATTTATTGCAAAAAAAACCTCTCGGAGTATTTTAATAAGGAACATAAGACTATTACAGAATAATGCTACGAGGTGTTTAAAGTGAGAGCAGGTTTGGAATCGGAGAGGTTGAAGCTTCAGCTAAAACTGTCAAAAATTTTACAGAAAGTTCGAAATTCTTCAGAAAGGAAAGCTCCGATCATCTCCACCCCAAACAGTGTTCCTGTTTGAGAGATCAAGTCATAATTGATTTACTGAACATCGAACATATCCAATTGTTTGAGTCTATGAACAGAACTCAATGGAACTAAGAAAGTTCTAAATGAGTTAGAGTCTATGCATTACCCAACCAGAGTTATGACCATTTGAAGGTGTTTTCAACCTCTGAGTAGAGCCCGACGGTCTCTACGCCTACGTCAGCTATTCATGAAAAACTTAATCATGAGATTTTCCATGAATAGCTTACCCAGAAGTCGAAAACACACTAAAATATGATATAACTCTGGTTAGGTAATAAATACATCTGAACCTATTTAGGCTTTCCTTACTTTCACTGACGAGAGAAGTACTCCAACTGATTCCCGGCTTTTAGCTGCAGATAGGCCTCAGTGAGACTAAGAAAACTCTTGAAGCGTTGGTGCTTACAAGCTGCTGATTCAAAATTATAGCCGCTTTACTGAATTTGCAGCCTACGGTACGGTATCAACGACAAAGTCATATGAAAGTATTTCGATCTGATATTCTATCCATAAATAATTCCTGACATATATCAAAGTTTTTAATCAAAATAAATGCTTCCTTTTTGAGATATTCAATTTTCAAAAAATGCCCGCTTATAATAGACAAGTCATGATAATGAAGCTGCCCTGCAAATTGTAATATTTCAAGAAGGAAGCATTCATTTTGATTAAAAACTTTGATATAGGTCAGGAATTATTTATGGATAGAATATCAGATCAAAATACCTTCATTTAACTTTGCTGTGGATAGGGATGTACCGAGACTGAAGACTCCCCAACAAATATAGGAATTTTTCTTTATGAAAAACCCCCGAGACTCTACGAGATTTTATCTAGAGTTGCTCAGCTTGACTTAATCTATATGTGCATACAATTGGGCGGATCGATTACAAAAATAAAAGGTCGAGTCTCGCTCAGTCTCGGTCAAAATTTTGTTTTTTTCAATGCTTCGACCGAGACTGAGCGAGACTCGACCTTTTATTTTCGTTATCGAGCTGTCCAATTGTATGCACATATAAATTAAGTCAAGCTAAGCAACTCTAGACAAAAATCTCGTAGAGTCTCGGGGGTTTTTCATAGAGAAAAATTTCCATGTTTATTAGGGAATTTTCAGTCTCGGTACATCCCTAGCTGTGGATACCGTGTCGTAGACCGAAAATTCAGTAGAACGGCTAAGCACAAATACTTCAAGAATTTTCGTAATTTCACTGAGATCTACCTAAAGTCGAAAACTCGAAATCAGTTGGGATAGTTCCCTCGTAGGTTTAACTCATAGTGATAGAATGGCGTCGAAAAATTTTCATCTTAAGACGATGATATATGTTTATGTCTATCAATTGAGATCTTCTCCATTCTAAGATTTATATAAATCTAATTCAAAGTTCTATTTCATTCGAAAAAACAAAATAGATATAAATCGAATTTTATAATAGAAAACTTTATTAAATTGAAAAAAAGAAAAATTTACTTGCTTAGCTGCACGATCTTGTTCTTGTTGTTGAAGTCGTTTATCAAATTCTCCTGTATCAACAGCAACTTCCCAATCATCATTATCATTGCCCATTGTTGTTGTCACTGTATCAACCATAATAAATAAATAAATAAATAAAATAAATAATTCGTAATATTACCAAAAGACACAGAAAGAAAAGAAAAAACAACACAATCTCGAATTTTTTTTTTTTTGTTTTGTTCTATTTAAACAAACATGAAAATATATAATCTGACAATAGGACGATGATAATAAAATCTATAATCAAAAGAAAAAAAGAGAGAGAGAATGAACATTATAATAAAAGAATTGTGTTGTTGGATTTTTTTTTGTTTGCAAATGTAAGCTTGAAAAAAAAATGTATTACACACACACACACACACACACGCAACAAATGCAGATAGATCACACAAGCCACACGGACAATAACAGATCTTCATGATTTAAGATTTTTTTTTTTTTTGTTTTAATTTTTTTTCTCTTCGAGTAAAAAGAAAAGATTGATTATTCAATTGTTCGATGAAAGAAGACAGAATCTTTATGTTTTTTTTTTTTAAATAAAGGTATGATGGAGAGGAAGAGGGAAGAAAAAAAATCTTATTGGCTTCGCCTATTCGAGCAAAAAAAAAAAAAAAAAGGGAACAAAGCATGACGTCTATATGTGCGTAGAAAAATACAAGCGAAAAAAAAAAAAAAAAAAGAAAAAAGACATGTGATGACGTACATTAAAAAGAAGAAAGAAAAAAAAAAAACAAACAAACAAACACGAATCCTAACGCAAGAAGATAAATTTCAACTTCTCATGTTGTTATTTTTTTTTTTTGTATCTCGGATTCTGTACAAAAGAAAAAGAATTCTTTTGGCTAGACAAATTCATAAAAGTGATTTAGATCTTGATTTTTCGAATGCACTATTTTCGTTGATGTTTCATTTATTGAGCATTCGGATTTGATTCTGTTGCTGAACTTAGAAAATCATTCGGCCGTTTATGTTTGTCTAATGCATTTAATGTTGAATAATCATGTGGTAATTCACTCTTGCGTCTTATCATTGGTTTCCCTTTTTGCATTGTACGACTTGCCTAAAAAAAGAAAAGTTTTATATAAAATAATCAAGATTAATAAAAGTCTTTAATTCAAATGAATCATTCAATGAAAAAATCCATTGTTAATAATATCGATTTTTCTAGTAAGTAGAGCGACTCGAACAGGTTCGAAGCCAATCCGATGGACTGCTCTAGGTGGACATGTGACTCTCTTGCTCGGAAATAGTTGGATATGACGTAGAAAAGCATTTTTAAGAAAACAAAAATTTTTTTTGGGAAAAAGTTTTTCGATAAAGAATGCTTGCGGAGAGCTCGTACCCTCATGTTTTTTTTGTGTTATATAAAATTCAACATAGTTTTATGTGCTGATTCTGTCGATTAAATTTTTTTTCAAAGCCAGAAAAATTTAGATGTTTTAGAAATTCACTGAGCAGTTCAGGAATGTTTGTACTAACAGAAATTAGAGAACAGTAGATAAAAGAACATTTGTGACAACATTTAGAGATTGAATTGCTCATTTTATCGAACTGACAACACTATAGATAAAAATGTTTTTTTTTTTACCATTGTATAGAACTCGGCTTGGAGATCTTGAAAATGTATTTAATTTGTCTGTCGAATAGTTTAATTAATTTTCTCGGTAACATCATGATTTTCATTTTTAGTCAAAGATCCGCCTGGATGCGCACTATGAGGTGGAGACACAATGGGCAACAACTTAGATATTATGTTAAAAGAAAAAAAGTGGAAGTGAGCTTCTTCGAGATTTGATTAATGACCAGTTTTTTTTTTGGTTAAAAACAAAAAAAACTTTTGTTTCAGCTGCTAAAAATTTCAAAGAACAATGATACAAAGATTTTTATAGTTTGATTGATGTTATAAGTTTATTAAGAAATTTTCACGTATTTACTTTGTAAATCACTGATTTTGAGAAAATAAAAACAATCACGTATATAATAATCTTATTCCATAAAAACTCAAAGAAATAGAAATTTGGACTTTTCTCTACATTGTGACAGATATTACAGATTGTGATAGGCATCGTTGATATATGATGACAGGCTGTATATCCAAGAACATCTCGTTCTAATATATTAATTACTTCCTTATTGCGTTTCTAAAAGGATGACACAAGAAATATGTCCCAAAAAAAGAAAAACGAAAAAGATTGAATAAAACAATCTCCCTATGATTATCAAACAGCAGCTATATCATATTTCATATTTTAATTCTGCGGGGGATTATGCAAACAGCTTTTTCATAACAATATTCAAAATATCTATAGTACATAGATTACAAAAAAATAACGCAGTACTTATCATCATATATGTCTACTATATAAAAATCGTCTCTCATATGCTTTTTTGTCTTTGTCGGCTTAATATTATATTTAAAGTCAAGAAGAATATATTTTTCAAAAACAAAAAAATCAAATCTATCATTAAAAAGATTTAATAAATTTCGAAATATATATTTTTTTTAGTACCTGTCAGACGCTGTTCAACTTCATATTTTGACTCAGTGAAATTGAGAAAATCCTAAATGAGTTCGAACCAATGCATTATTCAATCAGAATGTTATGACCGGTTCTCGACCTCTCATGAAAAACTTATATATTCTTCTTGAGATATTGAGTATCGAACAGATGCTTATACAGTGAGTACCAAAATTATTCAACACGGTTTACTTTCGCTGCTGTAAACAACGTCTAGAAAGAATTCAAATAGAGAAATTTGTTTCCAAAAGGAATATAAGGAAATCGCAAAGATAGAAACTCCGGAAAACTGAGAACCCAAATTTTTCAACACCCAGAGTGCGTACAGAATAATAAAACAAACAATTTTCTACAAAATAAGATATCACCGAGTTCTCTACAGTGTTTTTTAGGTGAAATACAGGAAGTTTATGGAAGCCCCTAAAGTCGATCATAACTCTAATTAGGTAATGCATAGGTCAAAGTCCATTTGAGGCTTTCTGAATTTCAGTGATGAGGGAAATACTCGAGATATCAAACGTCTTTTTGGCTCATTCATACCTCATTCGATGAAGTATATTCAGATAAGAAAAAGTATAGAATGGCCTGTTGGCGAAGATTTACGGTCGTTTTACTAAGAGCAACTTCAAAAAAACTAAAATTTCTCTATTCTCTTACTTCTTTAGCTTCCTGTTCAATTTCTTTTGCTGTTATATTCGTAGCTCCACCATCATCATCATCATTGTCATTAGGTCGATAAAGTTCCGGTTGATTGGATGCAAAATTTTTATACTTAAGAAAAAGAAAAAAAAAACAATTATTTAACTAATCTATTTTTATATATGTAGAAAAAAATAAATTGAATTTACATTTGGATTTTGTCTAGCTTTTGATTCAATTTTCGTCCATGCTGTATCACGATCACGTAATTTTTCTTTTTCTTTTTGTTTTTCAATTTTATATTTTTGTGAACATTCATCAAATAATTTATGATTCATTTCCATAAATAATTTTAATGCATTATATATTAAACCATGTATTGTTCTATTTTATCAAAAAAAAAAAAAAAACAAAAGTTAACAAATATTTATATATATTATTTAAATAAAACAAAAAAAAATTTTACTTATTCCAATGTGTTTTTGTATTTTTATATAAAGCTGGAAACATAATTGGTAAAATAACGGCAGCATTTTCTGTTATTAAACTCATTATATATTCATTATTCCAATAATAAAGTGCTCTTTCAGCTACCTAATAAGAAAATATTTATTTATTGAAATCACAAAGAAATATATGTAAAAAGAAACAACTAACTTGAAAATGTGGACTTGATACACATTTAGCAAGTTGTTTAAATAAAGATACCATCACTTTTTGAAATTCAGCTGGTTCAATAACATCAAGAATTTCTTCTAATTCATTGAGAAACATAACCTCTTTTGGACTATGAGTCTTAGGCCAATATTTTAATAAACCCGTTATCACCTATTTTTAATATAAAATCGAAAAAAGGTTTTTTTTTTGTTTATAATTTAAAATACCGGTTGAGTTAAACTAGGATCTTTTTCAAGAAATTGCACAATACAATATGCTAATTGTGGATGATAAACACTGAGTGTTTTTACTTTGTGCAATGGTAATAAAACTTTTATTAAAAATACTTTATGTTCTTCTTTTAATGGTAATGCAAAACCATTAATAATACTAAATATAAAAAATAAATAAATATGGGCTTCTGTTTCTATTTCGATAATTTTGTTATATGGCTTTTTTTTTTTTTACCTTCCAAGAATTTCAAGTAATTCAGCTACACCATTATGTCGTTCGGTTTCATAAATAAACTAGAAGACAAAAAAATGAATTATTTTTTTCGAAATACACAATAAAAAATAATCCCGCCTAACAACAGATTCAATAGTTGGATGTATTCCTTACAACTATGAATAGCTATAGATTTGAAAAGAAAGGTTGACCGGACGCAGAGTTCTTGTACTCACTACCTAGCAACAAGAGCATTGCAGTATCAGTATGCTATCGGACAAGTGATTCGAGATAAGTAATCGTTTGTGTAACTTGTTCAAGGTCATTTTATGGTTGGTCTATATATACATAGCGTCTTAGACGGTCTAGTGCTGATAGAAAACGGAAATATATTAGCGCCGGTTTTCTTCTTTTTTTTAAAACTATTATTGATAGAGATTTATAGTTGAATTTTTTTCAGCGATCGACATTAAACAAACTGAATCTATGTTCTTAGCAGAAAATTTAATTTGTATATTTACATCAAAATATGTCTACTTTTCAAAGTTTTAAACGGTGAGTTCAACATCATGTCTAGACTTTTTAATATTTTAAAAATCCTTTTTTTAATTAAAAATTATTTAAATAAATGAAATGTAATAAAATATCCCTCTAGAGCATTTGCACACTTGAACGTAATAAAATAATCTACTCCAAAAAGTTAAGTATAAATAAAAGTAAATATGACATCTATATTGAAAGATCAATGAATGTATATGGATATTAGTTTTCTCTTTATTTCCATTCACACTCTTCGAATTTATTGACAAAATC